CTTTTCAGTGTTTCCAGGATACAGTCCTTGGAGTCTTTGATCTCACTTTATCAGTGACTCAGATGGCCCTGTTTAACTGAACTGCACTTATTATATATGAATGGATTGAGAGCCGACCTGCAGAGAGTGACTTGGGGGTGTTGGCTGATGAATAGCTCAACAGGACCCAGCAACATGTGCTTTTGCAGCCCAGAAATCCAACCATATCCTGGGCTGCATGAAGAGAAGTGTAACCAGCAGGTCGAGGGAGGGGATTCTGCCCCTCTACTCCGCTGTCTTGACACCCCACCTGGAGCCCTGTGCTCAGCTGTGGGGCCCCCAAAGAAGGAGGATACGGACCTGTTGGAGAGAGTCCAGAGGAGGGCCACAAAGATGATCCGAGGGCTGGAGCACATCTCCTACGAGGACAGGCTGAGAGAGTTGAGATTGTTCAGCCTGGAGAAGAGAAGGCTGCAGGGAGACCTTATAGCAGCCTTCCAGTGCCTGAAGGAGGCCTACAAGAAAGCCTGGAGAGGCACTTTTACAAGGGCCTGTAGTGATAGGACAAGGGCTAATGGCTTAAAACTGAAGCTAAATAGGTTGAGCCTTTTTAATCTCTTGCAGTAAATCATGTCAGCTGGGGAGGTACTGGAGAGTTCCAGGGCTGCCTCTGGTAGAGCTCCGAGTACCTCTGCGGATGGAAGTCCCACAGCCTCTGTGGGACCCTGTGCCAGTGCTTGACTACTCTCATGGTGGGGGGAAAAAATAAAGTGTCCTAATATCTACTTGGAATTTTTCTTCTTGCAGCTTGTATCTTTTGCTTCTTTCACTGTGTGCTTCAGAGGAGAGCCAGACTCTGTCTTCTGAACCCTCCCATTTGGTAGCTGCAGGCAGTAAAAGGTCTTTGCCTTCTCTTCTTCGGGCTGAGTAAACCCAGTTCCTTCAGCATCTCCTTTTATGTCTGCTGCTCCAGCCCATGGCCCACCTTGGTGGCCTCTGCTGGATTCAGCCCAGTACATCTGTGTCTTTCTTGTACTAGGCAGTCCCAAACTAGACTCTCCACTCCAGGTGTGGCCTCACAAGAGCCAAAGAGGAAGGGTCGCCTCCCTCCACCTGCTCACTGCACACTTGCTGACACAGCCCAGTCTATGGTTGGCCTTCTTAGCCAGAAGGACACACTGCTGAATTCTGTTCCACTTTCCATCCTCCAGGACTCCCCAGATCCTTTTCTGTGAAGCTGCTTTCTAGCCATCATTCCTAGCCTGTCCTGGTGCCACAGGAGAAGGACTTGGACTTCTTTTTGCTGAGGCTGCTGTCCACCCCTTTCTCCAGCCTGTCAAGGTCCCTCTGAATAGCAGCCCTGCCCTCCAGCATAACACCCATGCTTCCTCCCACCTCCCAGTCTAGTATCATCCATGAACTTGCTTGAGAGCGTGCTCCATCTCATGTCATCTCTGTTGTTAATAAAGACATTAAACATCATGAGCCCCTGAGGGACAGCACTAGTAATTCATTCATGCAGTTAATTGCCAAGTTCCATTTTCTGCTTCATTCAAAGATTTTAGTGTTTCCTCCTAAATCAGGTTTTCCTCTGCGCCCCTGAGCAGCCTCTGATGTCTACAGAGGAGATTGGTGATTCAGTCCCAACATTCCTCTCCTGCTCTTTATGCTCTGTGAGATGTGACAGTGTAGCTACAGGGTCTAAATCCTGACTTATGGCCCTCATCAAGCTCTTCACCCAGCATTACCCTGTGCAGACACAAAGGCATATTATTAGCCATGGTGCAGGCTCTGTAGGAACCAGCTTTAGGAGCGTGGTTTGGTGGAGCAACAAGATGGGTGGTTCACCAGCAATACTGGATTCCCAGGGATCTGTGCCCATAACCCCTTTCCTTCCTAGGACCATCCCAGATCATCTCCCGGGGCAGTTGTTCCTGCTGTCTGCAGAAGCCCATTGTCTTCAGGGCAAGGTCACCTCTCTGCACCCAGTTGCTCACTGAGCTTGAGCCTCTACTGGCCTCCATGGTGGGGCTTCCCCAGGGTGCCAAGTGTGTGTGTCTGTGTGTGTGATCCTGCTCCATCCAGGTGGCAGATGATGCTGTAGGAATATTTGAGATACAGAAGAAGAGGGAGGAAAGTGGCCCCTCTGCCCACCAGCTTGTAGAGGTAGCTCTCCATTTCCCACCCCTTCCCACAAAGGGGGCATGGGGACTGGTCCCACTGGCAGAGCTTGATGAGCCACCATGGTCTCTTGGTGGTGAGGTGCTTGTCACTTGGGAGCCAGAGGCACCCACCCCGGTGGCGTGGTGCTCACAGACCATGCACAGCCCTCTCCCCTGAGCTCTGCAGAAACAGCCTGCAGGAGCTGCGGCCTGAAAACCAGCACTGCATGCAGGCCCTGCTGCGCCAGGCTACTTCATGCTCCGCCAGCTGTGTCCTGGGGACAAGGCCACTCTCACCTCCCAGCCAGTGGCCGATGCTGGGTTAACCATTAACTCCCTGCTCTGAGGCCTGCTGGGGATAGGGCTTTGTTTTCAGGGTGCTGTGAAGCTGCTTGCTTTGGCCTTTCCTGCAAAGCTCTGATGACATTTCTTGATGGGATCCTGCTGGGGTCTGAACAGCCTTTCCTGCCTACAGATGTCCATGCAGCAGGGCTGTGGCCCTGCCCTCATGGCCTTTATGGCCTGTGGGCAGCATGAGGGAGGGTGGCCCAGGAGTGGGATGTGGTCATGGTGATGAGGGAGGGGACAGGTGTGTGGCCAAGGCCAGGCATAACACTGCGCATGGCACCTCCCTGGGTGCTGTTTGTAGTGCTTTCAGCTGCCTGAGGTGCATGAGACCAAGCAAATGGGCTGGTGACCTCCCCCCGAGTGAGGGCAGTCCGTCGGGACAGGGGTTGCAGGGTGCCCAGTTTTGTGGCAGGTGCTTGTTGTCAGCCCAGGCCCCCCTGCCCAGCAGGAAATGAATCACCTTCAGTCACAGGCTTCGCCTTGGGGCCTGCAGCCTCCCATACCGGCGCTGTCTCCTCCCCACATCCTCCTCCATGCTTCTTGGCATTGTGAAATAGGAAACTCCTCAGTGTTTCCTCTGCAGGGAGCTCCACAAAAATGCTGGAGGCTAAGCCCTGCTTCAAGGCAGACAGCCTAAGCAAGGGCGCAGGTCAGAGAGCTGCGGTCAACCCCCTCAAGTTTGCAGCAGCCCTCGCACGTGTTGGGGATGTGCCTTAGGCCCACGACAGGATGATGCTAATGCTGAGTGTCAAAGACAGACTTCAGATCCTCCCAACATCCATCCTGGCCTGCTCAGCGATGCACAGTGCTGACTGGCAGCAGCTCTCACACCCTCCATCTGCGAGCTGGGTGTGTGGGTGCTGATCTCCTCAATGGCCACCAAATGCTTGGGTGTTGCATTTTGTAGTTTCCAGGTCTTGTTTATGGTTCCTGAATCTCCATTTCTAAGGTGTCCTCAGGAGACTGGTGTGGTGCTGAAAAGAGAGGCATGTCTGTGTACAGGGACCCGAGTCCTGCCTGTGCGTGAACCTCCACAGAACTTGTACGTGGGCAGCTTGTACTGACTGTTGAGCACTGGGGCCAGTCATGCACACGCTGCTTGTGCAGATCAGGAGAGGAGGGCACTTCCTTCCCTTGGCTATTTGGAACAGGCTATTTTTGGAAACCCATTGTAACCAAAGTAAATGGACTGTGGCTCTTCTCCGCAGTTTCATTTCTCCTAATTTAGTGCTCAGAAATGTGTTTAATTAAAAAGTTATTTGTATAAATATTTATAGTCTAACTTCTAGTGAGAATATTTATATTCTGAGCTCTTATATTGATTTTAAGCATTTTTTCTTTCAGGGTGAGATTGCCTCTGTTCAAAGAAACAATAACATACCAGGAATACACAAGGTGTTAAAGACCACACCATACACCCAGACTAAGCAAAGCTTTCACCTAAAAGGGACAAAACATAAACATGGCAGAATTTACAGGTTACAAGGAAACCTCAAATCGGCACCTACGATTCAAATTGCAGAGTCTTAGTCGCCGCCTTGATGAACTGGAGGAAGCAACCAAAAATCTGCAGAAAGCAGAGGATGAGCTGCTTGACCTCCAGGACAAAGTTATCCAGGCAGAAGGCAGCAACTCCAGCATGCTGGCTGATGTTGAAGCCCTGCGGAAAAGAGTACTGAAGATCGAAGGCAAGGATGAAGAAATTAGAAAGGCTGAAGAGCTTTGCCGGTTAATGAAAGAAAAACTTGAAGAGGAAGAGAGCCTCACCCGAGAGCTGAAGTCAGAAATTGAACACCTGCAGAGGAGAATGGCAGAGCTGGAGAAACTGGAGGAGGCCTTCGGCAGGAGCAAGAACGACTGTACGCAGCTGTGTCTTAGCCTCAATGAAGAAAAGAACTTGACCAAAAAGATATCTACAGAATTAGAAATACTTAGAGTCAAAGTGAAAGAACTGGAAGCATCTGAGGACAGGCTGGATAAAACCGAGCAGAGCTTAACGTGCGAGTTAGAAAAACTGAAATCCTTAGCACTGAGCTTTATCAGTGAAAGAAAACATTTTAATGAAAGAGAAAAGCAAAATGAAAAAATAATCCAGGAGCTAACACAGAAACTAGAACAAAACAATAAATTAAATAGGGCAGATCAGACTAGAAATGCATCCAACTTGCTAGAAAGGTCATCAAATAATCTCCTGGACAGAAATGATTTGAGAATTGAAGATGACTTGACTTCTGCGTTGCCTTCTAAGGAGACCAGGAGGAAGGGAAGTGTGGATTACCTGAAACATGTAGACAATGAAACCAGGAATAAATCAGAAAACCAAAAGAATAAAAATCAGGAAGACAACAAAGTTAAAGATCTCACCCAAGAAATTGAGAAACTTAAAACTCAGATCAAGCGTTTTGAATCTTTAGAAGAAGAACTTAAAAAGATGAGAGCCAAAAACAATGACCTGCAAGACAGTTACTTGAGCGAACAGAATAAAAACAAGCTCTTAACAGGACAGCTAGAAGAAATAAAAATGCAAATAAAGAAACAGAAAGATCTGGAGAATGGAGAGGTCGAAAATGAAGATACTAGCTTTTCTAGCAGGGGAAAACATGACAGACCTAAATACAGAGGTGTCACAGCTGATTTGGGAGCTGCCAAGCACAAGCCAAGGGAGCTCTCACCACAGCAGCGTCGGGAAAGAGCAAGGAACAGAGATTTCTCTGTCAGTAATGACAGCTACAGCCACGGTGGTAAGCAGGTGCCCAGTCCAAGCTTAATGAACAGAAAAGCAGGTAAAGCATCTGGTGCTTCTGCCCTTTCAGATACTGCTGTGACAGATACAAAAAGACTGGAAGAGAAATCTTCAGTTTCCACTTTTTCTTCTGGTCAGAAGGAAAGCTGTGTCATGCAGAATGAGGGGAAGAGATCAAAAGAGCAGCCGTCTGTCCTCAGCCGATACCCTCCTGCTGCACAGGAGCAGAAATCTTGGAAAGCACCTTCCAAACCTGTTGGTGACACGGGCCTGAGATCCAAGGCTGAAAAGCCATCTCAGGTGCTCCGTGGCAACTGCCAAACCAGTGCTGACACACATGACGAAAAGTCAAGCAAAGCAGAATCAGTGGCTTCTTTGGCCGAGAAGCTGAAAACAAGTCAGGCAGAAGTCAGTGACTGCTCAGGGGACACACTGCTTGCCAGGGGGAATCACGCCTCTTCCAATGGCACAGCTTCGATGTACAGGTACCACCTCTCCTCCCCCGTGTCAACATCAGACTCCACTGGCTCTAAAGCAGAATCAGTGAACACTTTTGCGGCGTCACACAGACAGCCCTCAGAGGGGAGGGCTAAAAGGACAATAATCTCCCAGGAAAAAGAATTTGCAGACACATCACTTGAAAGCGTGAAGCCTTCAACACTAACAAAGCGCTCCCATTGCTCCAGGAGTCAGGAGGACATGCTGCAGATTCTCACAGGTCTTGAGAAAGAAGACACGGAGCAGTCTTCAACTTCAGCAATGGATCATGTAAATGCTGGTTTAAAAATGGACTTCAAAACCATCCAGAGTAACCAGGAAAAACTTAATTCAGATGAAGAATCAGGAAGAAGCAAAAAAACAACCACTCAATCAGATTTTGAGACAAGAAAGAAAGTAAATTCCAAGCAGTTCTCCAATTCCAGGGGAGTTTTTAGAGCATCACTTTTTGAAAATGACAAAAACACTGTAAATGATGAAGACTCCACCAAGTGTATAAAACCATCAGATGCCAGCACTGGAGGATTTAAATCCAGAAGGTCGTTTAGCCCTAGAGAAGCTCTGAGATCAAAAGCTGTCATTAAACCTGCAATTGTTGAAAAAGATATGAAGGCAGTCATGGGAGGGGCTGTTTCTGAGGCAGATTCAGAAAAACAGAAGTCTGTTTTTAAAATGGTAACAAATAAAATGACAAGCAGCATCACAATCTTTCCTTCTGAGCCAACAGCTCCAAGGACCAGTGCAGATGCAACAGCAAAGGAAAGGCATGTTACCACCAGCAACATCAGAGTTGCTCTAAATGAGCCTTCACCAATAACAAACAATCTCCCCACACCCTTTGAGATATCGATTAATAAAAGTGCTCTGAAGTTATCTGAGACAGAGAGAATTGGAGAGGCAGTGCCAAGAAGTAAAGCAGAAACAGTGGTCTCCAGAAGCAGCATCATGATAAAGACTTCTGAATTCACAGAGAGGAACAGTGACCCACCTTCGGAGACTGTCAGCTGGAAGAGCCCTGGCTCTTCAGATGCCGCTTCATCCGAAACAAAACATGTCACTGTGCGAAGTTCCTGGAGAACAAGACAAGGCTTACATTCCCTGGAGGACTCTCAAACCAAAGTGGAGAAAAGTGCAGCTTCCTGTACTACAAACATGTGTGGGTCTTCAGTGGACCTCTCAGAAATGGAAGGGAACAGTGCAAGAACAAACTCCCTGGAGCAGACCTCAGCAAGGACCAGTGCCACAGCTAATTCCTGGAGTGCCCCTGAACTGGGGTCCCGAAGGACCAAAAGTAACTTAAGTGCATCTGAACTGCTAATGCGCAGGAGCTACGCAAGTGATCCTACAGCAGCTTCTGCTTGGCACCGGACCATGCCAACTGTAAGTATCCTATGTTAAACACTCTTGTCTTTCAGTTGATGAAGTTTTTCCAAGTTTGCTTGTTAGTGCCTGATTTTAAATTCTTACAGCTTATTTCCTGAAGTGCTGCCCTCTCCCAGCTCCTGCTATCTTCAGTGGAGCATCTCATATGTGAAGTACCCAATTTAGACTTCTTGAAATCAGATCCATCTGCTTGGGTCTTGTAATGCCATATGAATAACTATACAGTAGCATTTGGTCTTGCCAAGATCAGAGAAGACATAGTCACGGCTTATGTAGGACACGGTATGCTTTTCAGTGTGGCTTTGCATGGCACTGTGAACTTGAAGTAGTAACGAAAAAATGATGGAACCAAGCAGATTTTAACCGGGTGGTGCCTCAGGCAGAGCTCTCATGGCAGCTGTAGAGATATAGCTCCCTTTGGTAAGAGCTACAGTTTCCCCATGTGAAACCAGGCTCTGGTCTGGAAATGCTTCCCAGGCATCTCCTGAACAGATGAGTGGTGGCTGTTACACACAGCTGCTCCCTCCTTGGTCTGTGTCAATATGCCACCTGATAAGAAGCAAGAGTCATGGGGATGGCTGTGCTCTTTTCCTGTTCCTTTGGCTGGTACCAGCAAGGGGAGTCTCTCAAAGCAGGACTGACACACACAGGCAGTTGGGGTAATGGGCTATATTTGCCACCAGAGCTGCAGGCTCCAGCTTATTTCAAGCGAGCTCACTGGCACCAAGTGTCCTTCCAGTCCGTGAAACCACACACTGATTGCTGCTGCAGCTCCTGCTTCTGCTCTTCACTTGGAGCGGCTCTAAGCAGTTGCTGCCATGGCCAGTCTTCGGGAGGAGCCCAGCTGAGTAATCTGACAGGGCTGATGGCACAGGGGACAGATTCATAACCAAATGACTCTGGAAGATGTGAAAGGAATTCTACATTTGCAAAACTTCTTTTCCACATCTCTGGCAATGAGAAGCATGGAAGAATTTGTACTGTTGTTTTGCTTTGCAGAGAGTCTATTGCCTGGTGGCTGGCCTTTCAGCTACATTTGGACACTGAGAAGACATCGTCACCCTGGCCAGGGTCACTTGTGGGTCACAGGCAGTCTGTACTTCTCTTTCATGAATCCAGGCGGAACTGACTTGACTGAAGTTATCCTTTTGCATAACAGCAGCTTATGTGCTTTGGAAACAGGAGCTCCACCTCTGGGCCTCCCTTATTCCAGGTGTTTGAATTCACAGCACCCACAACCTTGAGTCTCACAGCTGAAGAGGTCTCCACCTGCAGCTGGGCTCATGTGTGGTCAATCGTGGAGCCCGAAAGAGTGGGCACTCACATATTCCTTTCCCATCTTCCCCCTAGCAGCCCACCTAGGGCTGAGTGTAGCTCTGCAGTACATTTCACAGTGGTCTCAAGGTCACTGTCAGATCAAATTTGCTAGCTATGCAGTGTGCCTACAACAGCAGCTGAAGTGTACCTGATGGAGCAACCTGACCTGTGGTCATCTTGGGTATCCCTGATGAATTTAGTAGCTTCCAGCCACTGCAGTGACAAGCAGTCAGGAAAGCAACTGTATGGTCAGTTCACACAGGGCTGCTGAGTGTTGAGTTAGGTGCCTCACTGCATCATACTTTGAAATAAAATCACCCTGGCACTACATAGTCACAAATATGAATTCTTGGTCATAAGTATATTTTTAGCTTGTAAATGAGGAGCATGAAATTACCCTGAAAGACTGCAGATACATAGATCTACCAGATATACCAAATGTTACGTATTTGGGCAGCTCAAATTATTGCATATGCCCTTGGAAAAAACCCAAAGTATCTGCCTTTGAAGGGTATCTTCAGGCTTATAATATGCCTCATATCACAAGCAGTTTGTTTTTTCTGGGATTTGTGTTTCAGTTAAAGATGTATCTATTTCTCTGTCAGAAGGCTTGGCGCTGATCTATGCTAACTTTGCATATTCAGCATCACTGTCAGCTCTTCCCAGCTCCACTGTCCAAAGTCTCAGATTGCCTTAAGAATCCTCTTTGGGAAACACGGTGCCTGTGCCAAAATACATCTTCCTCTCCTCCATGCAATACTCATGATGTCTGATCATTTGCTGCAGCACAGCAGGAGGCTAAAGCAAGCTGGAGGCTCAGCCCCTGCCTCAGCCTGTCCATCAGGACAGACACAAACTGAACTCCTGGAAATAATTCTTGCAAGGAGATGCCAAGGCACAGCTTGTAATTCCAGGCTTACATTTTTGTACCCCTGATGTAGGCAAATGACCCTAATGAAGCTATAGGAGGTAGCAGCAGCTCTTAGCAATACTTGTGCTACAGAAGCAGCAGCTCTTCTGGAGTGCTCCTTTGGGAGACCCACAGAGCAGGAGGTGCTGATGGATGCTGCGGCCTGAGGACCAGCTCCCTCTAGTGCTTGCAGCCAGCCTTTCTCAGGCTCCCATAAAAGACCTGAGGAGGTGCAAGACCTCAAGCAGTCATTCTGTTGGGCTTTGTGTTTCAGATGATAATGAAGTTGGTATTTCTCTGGTGTGATGTTTGACTGCTGAAAATTCTCAATGCCTGAATTAGTCCAAAGGCACTGGCAGGCAGCAATGCAGGATGAATGCACTTAATTCGTTTTTCTTGAGGCTGTGACATTAATATGACTAAAGGTAGGCTTTTCTTCAAGTGAAGCTATGTGTACCTTCTTATGGTGGGCACGTCTTGTGGAAAAGTCTCCCTGACAGTATCCAGCGATGTGCTGCCTCTCACCCCTCCTCTCCTCTACTTTAGGGACTAATAGAAAGTGTATTGATCACCATTTCACCTTTGCTGACTCCACATAAGCATCTACTTAAGCAGCTAGCCACACCACATCAGTGTTTTCATCTTTCCTTGGACCTTGATAACTTTGTCCAAGGGTTCCATTCTGTTTTATGCGAACCCTGGGTGGTCACAGTCTGTTCAGAGCAGCTTCCCAGGTGCTTGTCAGTGACCAGCTGATTGTCCTTTGGGGTGCCATGGAGCATGCTGAGCTCCACACTGACTCAGCTCTGGTACAGTACCAGGAGGTACTGGTCTCCATCACTGATACGGGGGGGTGGCCAGCCTGATGGCCCTGACTCAGCTCTTTACCTACGAAACTCTTTGAGACCAGTGTATCTGGGATGATAGTTATAAATTCATGCTGCCTGACAGCAGATACAGACTGACATTGTCAGATACTCAAGGAGCTCACCCAGTGGCCTTGTCTCTAAGGACAACTACTGTATCAGAAACACAGAGGTGCCTAGCCTTTGCTAAGCTCTCCAGGTCCATCAAGATGACTGCCATTCATTAAATTAAAATTCTCACCTCACTTTTATGAGCAGCGTGGCCCACCATGGTTATCTCTGGCCCATGGTTGGTTGGAGGTCCTTGTTGTGCCTATTCACCGAGGTGCTGCTGCTCCTGCTCACATCTCAGTTCTGTGTCAGGGCTTGGATCACAAGGGGGGAGATCAGGTCCAGTGTTTGCTGAATGTCACCCACAGCAGGGCCAGCTCAGGGCAGATGTTTGCCCATCCAGACCACCCAGACGTCACCTTCTTCCGAGAGCCCATCAAAGCCTACTGTTCATCTCAGAGATGCTCTTCTGCCAGGCATGAGGGCTGCTGCCTCTCCCTTCCCTGCTATCCCTTTTGCCACAGGGCAGGGATCAAATCTGTTCCACCAGTGCCCACAGCCCCTTCAAAGGGCTTGCGCACTGTTTCAGCAAACATGATGCCATCCCCAAAGTGAGCAGAGCTGATAAAGCCTTCAGTAGTGCAATGCAGCCATTGCACTTTGCCCGGTAGCCAATTACGTTATTGCAATTGTAAGTTAACCACTGTAGTGATTTTTTTTGTTTCTAATGTTGATGTGATGGTGCCTTACAGTGTGCTGGAACTTGTGGATAAGGAGGTTTTCCAGCCAGCAACAGCAAAAGCAATAGCAAAAGCACTGCCATCTTCCCGGGGAGCTGGAGAGCGACGGACTCCTTACCCCCACAACTCACAGCAGGGTGCAACCTCAGTAAAAGACACGGCTGCCCCAGCCAGCCCTAAGGCAGACCATAGGCATCTGAATCCCAGGGTATGATCCCATAAATGTCTCTGCAAACATTCAAGAAAACATCAGTGAGTTTAAAAGTGCCATTTAGATGCCTATAGCAGGAAAACAGTGTAGGACACTCCCACATCACATCCTCATTGCCAAGAAAATTGGAGATTCAGGTTGTTGGCCACCCTCCTTCCATGGTAGTTAAAACTCAGAGTTAGTACTTCTAAGAAACTGCATCAGTCACTAAACCACATGATTTTTTGCTGATGATGATAGGCCCTCATGGATACAAGCACTCTGGGCCCAGCAAGCCATGCAGGTCATTCAGCTGAAAAGAAGACTCTGCACCCTTAACTTGGGTTAAAATTACTGGGTGTTTTAAAAAAAAAATCTTTATGCCAGAGCTGGCCTGGTGGCCCAAATCCCTCCTTGACAAAGGGACTCAAGCCAGCACCTTGCACTGCAAACCTAGGACCCCAGGGCTATTCCAGACCCCTTCATGGTCCCTGAGTCCCAAATCTGTTTATTTTCCTTCGCACAGGATGAAAGCAAAGATTTTGTGCCCAGTTCCAGAAGAAAACAATATGGCTCTTCTGAGTACCTCTCACAGGTTGACACACCAGGGAAAAGGCCAGCCACCAAGATGGAGCTGCAGGACCCTGAATCCAACTCCCACGCACCACTGGGTCTCCAAGTGGAGAAGCAGGTATGTGAGTTCAAGGACTGTCCAGCAAAGAGTTACAAGGCAAGAAGCCAATATCTGAACTGACCTCCCAGTAATATAACTTGGAGAACTTGTCCAAAATGAGTGTAAACTTCTTAGGAGAAATCTAGTCTTAAGTTAGCGCTGTCCAGAGATGGAGTGTCTACTGTATTGCCTCAGTGAATTATTCTACTCATTTCCTATAATGGTAAAAAGTACTACAACCTTATTTTTTTTCTGTTCTAAACTTGTTTCAGCTAGCTTTATGGCTAAAAACGTTCTCCAGGGAATAAGAGGCACTGCAGCTAGTCATCCTTTGGCACACATTGGACAATCAGGGATAGAAAAAAACATTTGCAGAGACAAAATCAGAGCCCCTGACTTAGCTGCTTCAGCTGGCTGCTGTACGACTAAGGTGCTTGTCTGCTGCTACATACTTGCTGCTCTGCCTCCTAAAACACATCTTTCTGGACACATGAAGAAGTGGCAAAGGGCCCACATTATAGTGACTATGACTTACTGTCCGAAATATGAAAAAAAAAGGTGTATTCCAGCTCCCTTCAGAGGAGACAGGGGTCTTGGCAGACTTTAATTCCTAGGTGCACAGCCATGCTTATGTCTATACAAAAGACGTACTTTTTCTCCTAGCATTCCCTCTGTGCCTATGCAGCTGCCCAGAGCAAAGTGCATCTTGCCATTTATGGATCACCACAGCAGGAAATAATCTTAAGACCTCAACCTGTCATCAGCGTATCTTACTGGATGTGCACAGGAGTTACTGAATCTTGATGAAGATTCCATCCTTTACTGGATGCAGGGGGAACCATAATGACAAAGGGTTAGGATAAGGCTGAGGTATTTAATGCCTTCTTTGTCTCAGTCTTTCATAGTAAGGTCAGCTTTCTCCAGGTACCCAGCCCCCTGAGCCAGAAGACAGGGACAGGGAGCAGAACAAAGCTCCCATGATCCAAGAGGAAATGGTTAGTGACCTGTTCAGCCAATTAGACATACACAAGTCTATGGCGCTGGACAGGGTCCACCCAAGGGTACTGAGGGAGCTGGCAGAGGTGCTCACCAAGCCCCTTTCCACCTATCAGCAGTCCTGGATGACTGGGGAAGTTCCACTTGAATGGAGGTTGGCAAATGTGATGCCCATCTACAAGAAGGGCCAGAGGGAGGATCCGGGGAACTACAGGCCTGTCAGCCTGACCTTGGTGCCGGGGAAGGTTATGGAGCAGATCATCTTGAGTGCCATCACACAGCACATCCAGGCCAACCAGAAGATCAGGCCCAGTCAACATGGGTTTATAAAAAGCAGATCCTGCTTGACTAATCTGATCTCCTTCTATGACAAGGTGACCTGCTTAGTGGACGAGGGAGAAGCTGTGGATGCGGTGTACCTGGACTTTAGTAAAGACACTGTTGCCCACATCATTCTGCTTGAGAAACTGGCTGCCCATGGCCTGGACAGGCATACTCTTTGCTGGGTAAAAAAGTGGCTGGATGGCTGGGCCCAAAGGGTGGTAGTGAATGGAGTTAAACCCAGTTGGCAGCCGGTCACAAGCGGTGTTCCTCAGGGCTCAGTGTTGAGGCCAGTTCTGTTTAATGTCTTCATCAATGACCTGGACGAGGGGATTGAGTGCACCCTCAGCAAATTTGCAGATGACACTAAGCTGGTGGAAGTGTTGATCTGCTCAAGGGAAGGAGGGCTCTGCAGAGGGATCTGGACAGGCTGGATCCATGGGCTGTGGCCAGTTGTGTGAGGTTCCACAAGGCCAAGTGATGGGTCCTGCACTTGGGTCACAACAACCCCATGCAACACTACAGGCATGGGGAAGAGTGGCTGGGACGGATGGTGGGGG